CTTATTATGGTTTAAGGCTTAGCAGCCAACATTTCCGTTAGGGCTTAGGGTGTGCAAACCAACATTTTCTTTAAGGATTGGCCAGCCAAGATGTTTTTGAGGGTTTAGAAATGTTTAGGGTCTGACAAGAAATTTTTGTTTAGGATTCAGGATTTGGCAACCTATGTCTCTATTCAGGGTCTTACGGATTGGCAACAACCAACATATCTGTTTGGAGTAGAGGGCTTTGCAACCAGCATGTCCGTTTCAAGCTTCGGGTGGCAACCAACATTTGTTTTTGGGGCTTATTTCGGGGGCACGGCCAACCAACACCTTCTCTCAGGGTCAAGGGTTTGGCAGCAACATTGCCGTTCAGGATGGAAGGCTTGGGCTTTGGCAATCAGGCTCCATTTAGGGTTTAAGTTTGGCGAACGACGTCTCCGTTTGGGGCTTACAGGGTTTGGCGATCAGGACTTCTATTCGGGTTTGGCAAACCAATAATAGCTCCCGAAGACGGGTTCAGGGTCTCGCAACCAACATATCTGCTGTGCTCTAGGGATTCTGTTTGCGATTAACATATCCATGACGTTTCGGGTTGTGCAGGCAGCGTTTCCTTTTTGCGCTTAGGGTTTGGCAACTCGGGTTTTAGGTATAAGCTTTGGCAACCAACGTTTATTTTTAGGTTTTAAGGTTTGCCAACCAACATGTTTTATGGTTTAGGGTTTGGCAACCAAAATTGCTTGTATGGTTCTGGTTCACCAACCAACATCTGCTTTACGGTTTAAAGTTTTGGTAAGCCACTTTTACTTCTCCTGATCTTAGGGTTTTGAGGTTTGGCAACCGACATCTCTGTTTGGGATTCGCGGTTTTGCAACCAACATCTGCGCTTTGGGTTTCGGGTTTGGCAACCAACACTCGTATCTCCCATCAGGCCGATTACGGGGTGGAGTTTGGCAACCAAGATTTGCGTCTGGGGTTCAGGGTTTTGCCACTGCGTGTTAGAGCCTGCTTGCATTTGGTTTGATTTGGCTTGGTTTGGTGTGTTTTCTGCAGGGCTCCATGCACACATGCCACAGCGACTTCCTTCCTTTTCATTGATCTTCATCAACTTCTTCCAGTCGTGTTGTCGCAGTAGCGGCAATAGTGGCGGTAGCAGGTTTTGTCCGCCGATATAGGAAGAGAAATGGTGGTTGTCTGCGTCGCCGCAGAAGCCGCCGTCGTCGTCGTCGTCGTCGTCGTCGTACTCCATGTTCAAGCCCGAAGACTGACAGAGGGAGAGCGAAGAAACCATTTGGCTCAAGTCTCGGGAATTTGCGAACCCGCCCGCGTTTGGACCACATACCGATGCCATTTCTCACGCAAGATTTTGGATCCCCACTAGCCACTTTATCTGTTCTCTGTTTTGTTGAAGCCCGTACGATCCCGCATGCTTACAGGTCATGGGGGCAACCTCTCCTCCACACCCGCGGACGGCTTTCGAGATTTGCCAACAACTTCTCTACAGTACCCCAACACGCTCCAACTCGCTCAGCTCAGTCTAACTTTGTGGTGAAGCCAAAACGGGTCAATCCGTGTCAAGCTCCCACAACGGGCCCGTCACATTGCAGCCTGCCTCCTCGGACCGTTGATGCCATGGTAAGATCTCCAGCACGGCCCATTGTAGCTGCAGTGAAGCCGCCAGGTCGGCATCTTCAGCGTACCGTGCGCTGCTGTGTTCACACAATTTTCCAGCTTCGGTGTAAGCCCGACGGCTTCCGGGCTCCTCCGTTCTCGCCGGTGGGTTGCCCTTATGAGCTCGTTGAGGCGTGGGTCGTTGAAGACATTGAAGAGCTGTCTGGCCGCTCCGAGGCGGCCCCACAAGCTGGCCATCATCATCATCATCAACATCATCATCAACATCATCATCATCATCATCGGCATCATCATCGGCATCATCATCGTCATCGTCATCGCCATCGCCAGCGTCATCGTCATCGCCATCGCCATCGCCATCGCCATCATCGTCATCGTCATAGTCCTCATCATCGTCATCGCCCTCCTCATCCTCATCCTCATCATCACCATCATCACCATCATCACCATCATCACCGTCATCACCATCATCACCATCATCACCATCATCACCATCAACCGTCTGAGGTTCCTCTTCCGGTGAGCGCCTTTTGTGTCTTGGAATGCGTCTTGCTCTGCTGTGGTATGGCCGTACTTACTTGGCCCTTTTCGGCGGTTCCGCGAGAGGAGTTCGGCTCGCCCAATCTTCAGCTCCTCCAGCTCACCCAGTGCGCCGAGGTTGGGTCCCTGTAGCTCCAGACCTCCAGTTCCAGATCCTCGGCCTGCTGCTGTAGATGCTGTATAGCATTTTCCTGGTCTCGCCCAACTCACGTCGATGCCGAGGGGTCGCCGGCGGACCGGTCCCTTGCCAACAAGCTTCAGAGCGCCCTTATGAAGACGAGCTCGGGTTTCCGCTGTGTCTCGGATGATGATTTGGACCTCGTCTTGCGGACTCGATCGCGAAACGATCCCAGCCTTCCCGTTGCCTTCGTGCCCGGCTCGCCCTTCTCGTCGGGCTTCGCTTCAGATTCCGAGCGTTCATCCACCTTCTTCCGACTTCCAGCTGTCGCTCGAGTAGCCCTGGCGCGTGGCCTCGGTAAACTCTTCCTCGTCGGATGCCGCCCAGCACGGCGACGGGAGCACGGGAGAGGCGTTGCGCCGAAGGTTCATCATGATCCTGGTTCAACGTGGTCTGGGCTCTACTCTTATCGAATTGGTGCTCGTTGAGCGTCTCGGACCAGACAGCCGGAACACAAAGACGGTCACAGTATCTGTCACCCACTTACTGGTGTATTTTTGTTCATGAGTCCAACCTCCTCGCTCACGTCGAACACCGCAATGGGAATAGCGTAGTGTCATGTAGTGTCATTTGTAGCTTTCGGGAGGAAGCCCTATGGTTCTCAGCGTCGATGATCATGCCAAGTTGTGAACATGCCGGCTTTGAGAGCAATGAGGGATACTCGCCATTACTCGCCTGGGACAACGCGCTTAAGGATCGCTCTCACCCCCAGCGCCCAGGCCCCAAAGAGGAAGGAGAACTCGCTACCAAAGCTCATGGCCATCACGAGAACGAAAGCTGTCTGTCTTTCGCATGGACTTCATCCACCGTCGCAAGCCTGTGAGTCTCTGGATATGTTGGTTGACCCATTTGGTTCCGGCCACTGTCGCACAAGAAGCAAGGTTCCTTGGTCTGTTGTTCTCGGACCCAAGTCTTCATGCACTCTGGGTTCTTGTGGTAGAGCCGGCGCATCTGCTTGATCTCATTCAGCTTCTGAACGACTCCTCAACGTACCCTTCCGCTGGCAAGTTGCCCGCCTGGCACCGTCCCCCTCCTCGGTCACACTCTCAGTTCCAGACGGTTGGGTTTGGGGGCTCGCTCTCAGAAGAAGGGGGTCCTCGAGGACGGTGTGGGGGGCATACTCGATTTCAGGTTTTTGTACCGGGGCCCCCGGACCTGTGGGAATCCCCGGCAATCCCCCAAGTTGTTCGGTCAAGTCCAGCATCGCACTCACCTTTTGCCCATCGTGCAAACCTTGCGATGAGGCTCAATTGATGAAGGACTCGAGGCTTCGCGGGAGATCGGGCCAGCCTCATAAACTTCTGGCCCGTCTGGTCCACCTCTTTATGCTCCAGAATCCAGAAGCCTGATGATGGGCGACTTCTCCATTTCGGTCTTGATCAGCATGACCCGGCGCGGACAGGTGGTTCAGGATCTTCGCTGCCTTATCCTTATGTGCTGCATCAAGCCGGAGCTTCGGACTGAGGCCGGGAGGTTAAATTCTTCCGAGACCAATCAAAACTCCACGCAAACTCCACGCTCCTCCAGTAATCCTTCTCCCCCGCACGGGCCTTGAACTCCGGAGGGAACGTGTTGTGGAGTTTGAGGAAGTTCCCAACATCACTCCAGCCGGTCTCTTTCTCACGGTCATCACCTTGGGCATGTGCATCGCCTTGTACAAAAACTCGCTCGCTGATCAAATCGGGGCGGATCGTTGCGTGGGGCTCGGTCCACTTGATCAAGTAAAGAGCTCGTGGTTGAGAACGCAGCGGGACGATCTCGTCGGCCGGCTCCCTCCGGTTTGGCTCGAACGGGACTTTGGCAGAGATACTTCACCATCTTCAGGACTCTCTCTGCTCCAGATACTGTCGCCGTCCTCAGACCAGTTCTCATTCCACGGCGCGTCCATCCCGGCCTTTATGAGTCGAGAGAGTCGGACCAAGAATCCCAATCCCAGCCCGAAGAAGACCAGGACCAGGACCATCGCCATCCGGGTTCCTCACGCAGGCTTGAGGGCTGCTGCGGCGTCTCCCAGTTAAGCTGGTGTCGCAGTTGGAGTCGGGGTGTGCTATCCATCCGGGGTGAGCTCACTGCACCACGCGCTGATGGCGTCCAGGATCGGTCGCCTCACTCCCTCGCTACTCGGCGCGGGTCGCGGTTCGATCTCCTCGGTGTATGTCCTCAAGTAGGACGGTCATTCAACAGCTTGCATCATCCTTATCGTCTTCAACTCTCTCCCACCCGCGGTCCGCATCATCGCGGTAACACTCATGGCTCAAGGACGCACTTGGCCACTACTCCTCGAAAAACCCAAAACAAACACTCTCAACTTCGGCCCCGTTATCGGAGCTCCGCTGCTGTCAAAATGCTGGCTTCCACAGTAGTGTTCCCACGACATTCCGTTTGCAATAATGGTGGACTGGCAGCATCATCAACCTGATCAAGAACACCTGCTCTCGCTTGCGCATCAATTCCAAGAACAACAGTTGGAAAGGAGGGCAACCTGAATCCAATCGGTTGATCTGCAGGGAGGGTTTCCCAGTTGTGGCAAGACAGTTTTTTCATGACTTCAGCAACACACAGGTATAGGCAGAGCCATGGTGTTTGAGTCTAATTATTGGAGGCACTGTCCGAAAGCCTCCACCTGAACCAAACGACGCCTTGTAGCGCTTCACCGTGTGTGCCGCCACAGGCTGTGATATCTTCCGCTTGCTGGACATCCCGGCCGCTTGACCGCCTTGAGTAGACCGAGAACTTGGATCGCATCTTGAGTAGACCGATGGCGTGCTTGAGCGGAAGAATTAGAATAGCATCAACTGAGATCCAATGCATTGTCTTCTTCGAGCGCTGTGCTGCGCTCAAGCTCTACAGAGCAGAAACAACTACGGGCTGCAAGCCGAAACTTTTGTGGCCTTTCCCTGACTCAGGTATCCCGCGGCAGTATAGCAACAGAGTCGGAGCAAAATTTTGCAGGGCAGCACCTGCATTCTGGTTTCAACATGAATGATGCGTGTGCATGGCAGCACGCAAGTGAAGATCCTTTGTTTCACCAAACGTCTACAGAGTCGTTTGCGCCTACTTCGGCCACTGCGCCACTTGCTTGCAATTAGACAGCAGACTCTTGGATTACATGTGTCAGGATGCTTGACTCCACTTCGTTGCAGGGGTTGCTTCTGGACAGCATGGCAACTGCTTTGTCGATGGCTGCAGGCACTCTGCGGCAGTGTTCTTGTGTGAAATTTTGGGGTCACGAACACAACTTGATTGAGGATGCAAGTCGGCGACATGCTGTCGCCGGCAATCAAGGTGGGCAAGTTGTAACTTTACCTGCCGGAGATTGCGGGAGCTTCTGAGGCAAGGCCGTGCTTGTTGAGACCGATGAGGCTCGAGGAAGTCTGAGCTGCAGTATCCGCGTGACTCCATGACCCGCTGGAGGTACCTTCTGCGGCTCTTGTCTGCTTGGAGGCCCTAAGTTGGTGCAGCTTGGATGGCTTGCCATTTTGCGTCCTGGCGCTCGTGCAGGTCGATGCTGGAACAATTGGCACCCTGCTGTGCACCGGCTCAGTTCCTGCCCTGGTCTGTGGGTGGTGTAGACAAGGGCGTAGTCCTTTGGACCGCGGCATCAACGTGCTGCTTTCCGAGGTGTGGCTGAAGGTGCTAAGTTTCTGCAGTGTCCATGAGGCAGTGTAAAGCTGTGTCGAGATCTACAGCTTTTCCTTTTCTTTTAGCTTGTTGTTCAGGCCGCATCCTCGGTGCCCTGCTGTACCGAGACGTTGGCAGGCCTTGCATGCGAATTTGCAGGGCCTAGCGGTCTAGCCATCTTTCTGCTTCTGCATGCATCATCGTGTGTCGAAGGCGCACGCGATGGATATGGCCGCTTACTCGCTGGCTCCGTCACGCTCTCCCGCGGATGTGCTGCAATGGAGCAGCTTGCCAGGCTGTCGGGGAGAAGCGAAAAGGTTTGCAACAGTGTTGGCAAATTTGCAGGATTTCACCCCACTTACTCGTCAAGCTGAGTTTGCCCAGTGTGCTCCTCAGCCTTGTTTTCGCGAGTCTGGCAAACTCTGGTCAGACAAGACATCAAAGTTGCTTGGCGAAAGTTCTTTAGTATGTCATAAACTCACACTAGGGATGCGAAATTCCTCATAAACTCACACGGGGGATGCGAAAGTCTTGCACTCGCATGGCACGAATACTGAAGGAGATTCATGTTCGTTTGCCGGAGCGTTTCTCTCGCTTACTGTGTACAGCAGCAGCAAGTGAAAACAGCACACCAACGCTGCGTACACGTTGTTGTCTTTGGCCAATCGTTTGGCACCTCCGGGCACTTGTCGCTGTCGTAGTTTGTCCTGAAGTGCATCCTCCTTTCCGGCGGAAAGTCGCCAAAAAGTCACAGTCAGCTGGCTTGCAAAAATGCCCTTCGACGACGAACACTAGCAAACTCTTCCGACGATGTAGCTACAGTCTTCTCTCGCAGGTCTGGCGTCCGGTGCGGAAAGCGAAGCAGTCTTGAAGATGCTTGCGCAGATGAGGGGCGAGCTGAGGGCGCTGAAGGCCAGACGTGGCAACGACTGCCCGTCTTGGCTTTCCACCCGGACAGGAGGTTTCTGTCCACATCGCCCCACCGCGACTGCCGAGAGCATGCATCTCAGAAGATCACTTAGTTTGCGGTCATGTGGCTTCGGTGGATTTCGGTGGCTTGGGCAGTTCAGGTCACCGGTGAGAGTCGTGAAGATCGTACCCAGGCAGTGTCAGGCACGTTCAAGTCCAAGCCAGTCCAAACGGAGAACAAGTACACATTTCTACTGTATACTGTATAATCATGTACGCACAAGGGCACATATGCATGTTTACATGCATATGTATATTTATGTATGTACATACATACATACATACATACATACATACATACATACATACATACATACATACATACGTGCATACATACAGTTCTTGTGTGTATATGCCACTACGTGCGCGTGCATGTGCAATTGACATTGCAAGACTGGTGGAAGGTCTTGCCAACGCCCTGTCAGCGGCATTGCCGCACATGACTCAGCACATGATCTCCTGGTATCGGTCATACCTATGCAATGCTACAGTTCTTCTCAGGTGGTGTTTGGATTCTTTTCATGCAAACTTGCGCGGCGGGCGACCGCCTGATTTCGAAGATGCAACGATGCATCTGCGAAAGTCTCGGTGCCTGCAAGGTGTCTTCTTGCAGACGATTCTGTGCTAGCCGAGCTCGTCAGCGTGACGCCCAAGCATCTCACACGACTTGGCCTAGCCACGACCTCAGACCCAAGCAATTTTCCAAATCCTGCGTCTTCTCTCGCTCGAAGGACTTGAACTCGTTCAGCTGCAGAGATGCCCACGCTGTCGCACGAGTAATTGCCAGAGTGACGGGGTTCGACTCTCAGTCTCGGCGGAGCCCTGATGGCCCTTTTTCATCGCACCTGTCATCGAGGTTAAGGGAACTTCGCCTACTGTTCCACGGCCGTTCGTTTGTCCAGAGCTTATGTTCGTTCGAGGCTGGAAAGTTCTCGCTTGACGATTCTCTGGTCCCGTGAGGCTTGGCTGGGCACCGGAACGGAGGATACGGGCACAGAGGAACAGAGTGTTGACAGCACTGCCGCATCACGGCGACTGGTTGCTTCTGGAACGATCACTGCCCTTTTGGATTTCAGGAGCTGGCGTCTGCTTTGCCAGCAGGGCTGAAGAAGCTGCACCTGATGCTAGAGTCGTGCACCGAGACATGCTTCGCGGTATTGTGCAGCATTCCGGCTGTGTCTGTGTGTGTCAGAAGCGTGCCGGAACAGGTCTTCTTGTCTGGGGGCCACAGCTCTTTGCAAGGCGGCATGAGGCCACTTTGGATGTATGACGACGCTGTTAGTGTTTGAGGCTTTGCCCGCCAGCCTTCAACAGCTGGCTTTAGACCTACAAGTCACGGCGGGGTTCCAAGCGCATACACAGATCCACGGAGCGGCCGCGATATGAGCTCCTTGCATGCCTTGAGGCCCATACAGCGAGTAGCACACTGGCACAGGCTTGGACACTGTTGCGTTACGTTGAGTCTGAGTGCATATCCTGCATGGTACTGTGCCGAGGCCCTGGCAGCAGCGCTTCCTGGCTTAACTGTCCTTCAGCTGCGGCTCGCCGATTTCAACATGAGCCTGAGTGACCTCAGGAAAGTAATGGAATATTGCACCAGCATTGTCTTGTTATGCTGGCCACGGTAGCTCCGATTGCTTATCGGCAGGAGCATAGCCACTGCTTTGCCAAGCTCTTTGTCCGATTTGCGACCTCCCCTCATGACGGCTTGTCGCGTTCACAAGCCAATCTTCGAGAGCTTCACGGCTCTGTCTTTTGTTTTGTTGAGGCTTAGACCTGTGCTGTCGCGATGTCGGCGATGATGGAGCCAGCACGCTAGCGACCAACCTGCCCAAAGGCCTCATGCTTGGCCTCCTGCCGTGCTTGCGGAGCAAACTGATGACTGTGAAACGACTGTCTTCTCCTCTCAGGGCTGGAGCGCCTGACGCTTTGTCTGCGAGACTGGCGCTTCACCGTCGCTTGCTGAGAGCGCCAGCAGTCCTGCAAGCACCCACCTTGCGTGCGCGGAGGCTGTCGGGATGAGAGTGCTAGCAGCAGCAGTACCACGAAGCGTGAGGCAGATTGACGTCGCAGGCTCATCTTTCACGTCTGTTTGTGTATGTGCAGGCAGCTGAAGCTGGTCGTTTCAAGTTCAGCCATCGGTGTCAGTGGTGTTGGTGCCTTAGACCATGCATATCCCGCGTCATGGTGGAAGCCGCAATTGAAACGCCAATGAGCTTTCCTATCCATCCAGAGCCTTCTTTTCGAGGATTTTCCCCTGTGGCACTCATGGCTCGTTCAAAGGGGCCACGCCAGCTCCTGCTCCTAAGCGGGGATCCGAAGTGGGCTCAAACTGTGACCAGCCAAATTCTCGCATCCTGGAAGACTGTGCATAGCAATTTCCGCATTCTTAGAGCAGATCTTCGTGATCCACCACAAAAGGCGTGGATGGGACAAGAGCTTGACGCGGTGGTACTGTCGGCACACCGTCGCAGATTTCTAGATGCTTTCGGAGCTGTGTCTGGAGCTCTGAAGGGGGGAGGAGTGCTGATTTTTCAGACTCCCCCTTTTCAGCACTGGCGAGCTGAGCGCATCGGGTCCAGATGGTGCAGCTTGTTGGAGCAGCTTGAGGTCGGCGAAGGCCAAGTCCGCACCTTTCACCAGAACCAGAGCGAGGAGACGGAATCAGAAATCTCGACTATAGCAGGGATGTTGCCACTTGGACAGTGTTTGCATCAGGAATCAACGCAGCTCCGACCTAACGAGGAGCAGCGTGAGCTGATCGAGATCATTCTGGGGATAAAAGCCTCCAGACCCTTGCTGGTGTCGGGAAGACGTGGCCGTGGTAAATCTGCAACTCTTGGAATGGCTGCTGCGGTGCTGCTGCAAAGAACAGGCGGCCGGATTCTTGTGACATCTCCAAGCAGCGACGCGTCCTCTCAGCTCTTCTGGGCCGCTAGACGCTTTCTCGGCGAGGGCGAGGGCGAGAAAGGGCACGGGCGAGCGCTCTTCTATGGCAAGAAGGGAAGCCTCGAGTTTATTGCTCCAGAACGCCTTGCCGAACTAAGCCGAACGGAATTGAAAGAGTCCTTCCTCATAATCGATGAGGCTGCAGGATTTCCCGTCAATTTCACTGCCCATCTGCTTCAGCGAGCAGGTCGAGTCTTGCTCGCTACCACGCTGGACGGTAACTCAGATCACGATAGATACGATAGATTCCTTCCGATTTAGTCAAACAGCCGATGACTGTAGTCTTAGCATGAAGAGTCTAAGAGGAGTACGTATGCTGTAACTGTAGCGGCTAGATTTCCGTGCGGCTCTTGACGAGGCTACGAAGGCAGCGGCAATGGTTTCTTGGTTCGAGCATTGCCGCAGCTTCGCGCAGCACGTGCGGGCTTACAGACTCGCGAATTGCGAACTTCTTGGCGCTGGGCTCGCGGATGCCCACTGGAGGCATTGGCAGTGCTTGCGACGGTTGAGAGCCCTTGACTGCTATTTAATAGGAGCGTGTTTAGCATCGCATCGCTGTGAGTGCAGCAGTGCAGGTCCTCTCCAGGGCAGCTTTGCTCCTGGATGCAGTCCCCGCAGCAGTGAGCCCTGCAGCGGCAGAAACGATCGCTCGGTCAGCTGTGTTGGAAGCCATCGATCGGGGTGCCATCGTTAAGGATGATGATCGACTGAGAGAGATTTATGGTCTCCTACGTGTAGGCCACTACAAAACAAAACCATCTGACCTGGAGACTTTCCTTGATGCGACAGGTGTCATATGGCTGGCTCTGCGATACAAGAACAATTATTACGGCATCACCATCTCTGGCATAGAGGAACCAGTGCCAGAGGAGAAAGCTCAGCAGCTCTGGCTGGCACGATGCCAAGTTGCAGCAAACCTAACTGCGCAGACTCTAACAAGGGATGCTGGCATGCTGGAAGCTTCCACACTGCGTTTCGTGCGTGTCATGAGATGGTGTCTGCATCCGAACCTCCGTGGCTACGGACTGGGTGAGCGCTTACTTGTGGAAAGCCTCAATCGTCTGAAGTCGCTTTCAGTGGACGCTGTCGCGGCACATTTCGGAGCAACATCGTGGCTTATCAAGCTATGGCTTCGACAGGGCGCGCGTGTGGTTCATTTGAGCCACGGCTGCGATCCAAGCAGCGGACAGCACAGCGTAAGTGTTTTGATCCCGCTGACGGAGAGAGGGAGACGAAGCTGTGAGAACTTGGAGAGGAAGTTGCAAGAAGAGCTTCCAGAGCTGCTCTCAGGGCCTTTGGCCGATCTTGCTGGCGATGCCCTGAGAGAGCTCTTGAAAGCGATTGAGTGCCCGAAGGCTTCTTTTCAGGACCAACTCGACTCGTGGAGCTTCGCATTCGGAGCCCGCAGTCTCTCCAACTGCAAGATCGCGCTGCGCCGTGTGGTCTTGCAGAGCTTGCAGGTGCCGACAGAGTCTGGGGATGAGTTCAGTTTCCAGGATAGAAAGTCAGATGTGAAGGATGGGAAGCTCTTCCTTGACCTGTTACAGGGACGGCCTATCCTGAGTGAGATGCAGCTGCGCCAAGCCCTGCGGCATTTGCCGATGATCAGAGACTTGCATCCGTGCAACCAAAATGATGGTGCTTTTGCAGGTTTTTTGCGCAGCATTACGCACTTTAGTGTGCACTTCAGTCGTAATGCAAAACGCATGCCGGCTGGCAGCTGACAGGCCAGGGCTCTTGCAGCCAACCTGCCAGTGGGCATGATTCGCCTGAATATCTCGCTCAGGCGGCAGCACAAGAGGGTTCCAATCATGTCATGGTGAGGTTTGCGGTATTGATGTGGCAGGCACTGTTGCCTCGGCCGAGATGGTGAGCAAGCGCTGAGGCCGTTGGCTCGCAGGCAGCTGAGAAAGAGCGAGAGGTGGACAGTCGCGAGCCTGGAAGACATGCATGCGAAGGGGCTTCGCCCTGCTCATAGCAAGCACGTATTGTGAAAGAAAGAGAGGAGAGAGCGAGATGTTTAGCCGGGAGATGGAGGTGGGTTGCGGGTGATAAGCAGTTGGTTCATGTTGACAGCACCGATCTCACCTGCAGCAGTAGTCACGGACTGGCCCGACAAGAAGAAGGGAGAGCGAGCGAGTTTCTGGTGATGGATGGGCTTGAGTTTAAAGAGCATTGCTCTTCAGAGGATTTCTACAGTTAGCTTCAAAAACAGCAAGAAAAAGACAGGGAGTCAAACAGCAAGACGACGAAGAGGGAGACGGATGCTGATGTAGCCCGGCGTGGTTTCCTGCAGGTGGAACGCATTGCCGCACAGCTGGGTAAGAGTGTACGAGAAGACAGCTGCCAGCGTGGTCTTCGCCCCAAAAAAATTGTGTCCTTTCGCCCAACAGCGCTCATAGACTTGTAAGGGTTCTGTGGTCTCGCTGAGGGGCTACAGCGCTGCTGTGAATGGGACTTGTGGGATGAATGAGACGAAAAGAGCTTGCGAAGCAGCCGCAGACAGCAACGCTTTGATTTCATTCGGCTGCCACGGCTCTGCAGCCATACACAAAGGCTTTACAGTGGATTCTGGACCACAGATGATGGGTCCCTCGAGATTACTTCTCGAGAACGGGGATGATGATGTTCTGACTTTCTGGCATAAACTATCAAACAGTAACAAATACGGTCCAGGAATAGTGTCTTTACGTCGAGGGCGCCGGTTTGAGTTAGCAGCTTCGAAGAACTCTCGGTAATGCTTGTGGACTGTTGGGCGCGATCGCGATCAGCATGCTGGGTTCCCGGCCAAACGCGTGCCTGGCTTGCTTGCGCAGCCCACCGGTCTTAGCACAGAGCAGCAGCCAAATGCCAGGCGTGCCCTCCCTGTCCCGCGTGGCCACCGCCGGAGCCGTTGATCCAGTCCCTCAGCTCAGAAGGAGCGTGCTGAAGCTCTGGCTGGGTCTGAGTGTGGCCAGGAATGGTGGGGCCGTAGGCATCAGCTCAAACCTGTGGCAAGCTGAGCTCGTTTGGCCGCGAAAGAATGAAGATATGCATGTCAAGTGGAAAAGCAGCTTACTTTTCTGACAGGACTTGAACCATGGCAGATTCCATGTCTGCTTTTGATTTGAGGCCGTGGTCTTTCCTCGATTTGACAGCCCCCATCAGGCAGATCATGTCACCTCAGTGCTCTGCCCAATGGCCAGTGTGGGAAGGTCGCAGATCTTTTTCAACTTGGTGGGCGACCTGCTGTGCTACAGTGGAGCCAACGAGGCTAGGCAGAAAAGCAGGCAGAGGCGACAATCGTGGCTCGCATAGACCGAGTAGACTGATGTCAGGTGAACTTGCAGTTGAGCATTGTCCGATCAGCCTGCCAGGATCCTGTGAGGAATTCGATTCTGCTCCGATCAAACGGTGCAAGCTATGTTCCACATGAGGCAGAGAACTTCGTGATCAGGTGGATGAGGAGCGCAGCCCACAGATCCTCGAACAGAGTGAACGCAAGTAAATTGCAGGAGTGTGATTGGTTCTAAGGTGCTTGACATTCAACTATGATGATACCTGTGGTCTTGGCTGGCATCTCTGTTTTCAAAGGGTTGCTCGTCACATCTGGAAGCACGGAGCCTTCCAGGTAGCGGGCCGAGCCGTGATCGTGACGAAATTCTGGCCCTCAACACCTGGCTGCTTGTTTCAGATTTCAGCGTTTGTGGGGGTGTATCCACAACATCATTTCAATGTGAAAAGTGAGCTGCAAGGATCAAGAGACACCCGCGACTCAAATACTTCGAATGCCTTGTTCGGAGTGAACCGCCCTCAGCTCCCTGGCTGCGGAACGCAGCAGTGGGGGGACAATATATATATATATATAATATAATATATATGTGTGTGTG